GTGTTTTCACTCTTAATGTGGTGGAATACAGGGAGATATTAGAATAAGTTTAACCGAGTTATCACTTGTTTGTATGAGTGTTATTTTTCTATCATGTTTTTGGATCATGTTTTGTTGTTTTCATATCATTGTTTTTATATCATGTCTTATTATATCATGTTGTTATTGCTTATTAATAAACATTATTTCAAAAAAAGCCAAAAAACATGTTATGGTTGGGAAATGCAGATCCTTAATAACAGAAGGATGTGGATTAAGGCACAATACCAATCTCACACTTGGTAGTCTCAAGCCCAAGATGCCAAAGGAAACTGTGCCCCCACTTCTTTGCAAATGCAAATGTTAATGCCAATGGACACCACTTAGCTACATGTGACAACTGCCCTTTTACTCTTTCAGGTTGTTAATGAGATCCAGGGAGAGGCTAGTAAAGGACCTGCATGGCACAGAAAACAAAACCGACTTGGGAGACCCTGAATGGATCTGGCTCTCACTTGATCCGGGAATAAGACCTGGGTTTTAGTGTTGTCTTTGCCACGATGTAACTAGATGGGCGTGTCACACAACCTGTCTGGGCTCACTTCTTCATTTTCAAAAGGCAGGAGTGGACTAGATTCTCTCTAAAATTTTTTCCCACCTTTAAGTTTTACGAGCTAATCCTAATCTTTGGACAACCTTTGTTCAGGCTGGTTTTTCTCCAGAAAACAAACTTGAGAGCACTGACCCAACCTGATTTTCTTATTGTATACTCTACTTGACAGCCACTGCCTTCAGAAATCAGCTGTACTTTTGTGGTTACTAATGGCACCACTGCCTGCAAACTTCCCTAACACATTCTTCACAGGCAAGTGGAGGCAAATGTTTTTTTTTGCAGGCAACAGTATGAAACTGAATACAAATGCTGGCAAGGAGCCTAGAGATAAATAATAGGCTCTTGCCCTAGCCGGTTTGGCTCTATGGATAGAGATAGGCCTTCAGGCTGAAGGGTCCCAGGATGGATTCTGGTCAGGGGCACATGCCTGGGTTTCGGGCTCGATCCAGTAGGGGGCGTGCAGGAGGCAGCCGATCAATGATTCTCTTTTTTTTTTTTTTTTTAATATATTTTATTGATTTTTTACAGAGAGGAAGGGAGGGAGATAGAGAGCCAGAAACATCGATGAGAGAGAAACATCGATCAGCTGCCTCCTGCACATCTCCCACCGGGGATGTGCCCGCAACCCAGGCACATGCCCTTGACCGGAATCGAACCCGGGACCCCCCAGTCCGCAGGCCGACGCTCTATCCACTGAGCCAAACCGGCTCTGGCCAATGATTCTCTTTCATTGATGTTTCTCTCTCCCTCCCTCTCTGAAATCAATAAAAATATATTTAAAAAAAATAATTGGCTTTCTATCCACTTAGTATGGCCTATAGTAACACTGTTCACAAACATGGGTCTAGCTTTATGAAATAAAGGTGGAAAGTTCAAAGTAGTGAGTGACTCTGAACTTTAAGTGAACTAAGTGAATCTTGAACAAGAGCAAGACAACAGAACTTGGTACATCTCTAATGCCCAAAAAATCAGTTCCCTATTTTCCTGCTTCTGAAAATCGTTCAAGCTTAGTTTTTAAAAAGATTGAAAAACTGCTTTATTATCAAGATATGTATAATCTATTTATGCCTAATAGCTCACTAGTTCAAACCCCTTACTCTAGTTTTTTTTCCCCCCCCAATAAATATATGAATTAAACCAAATTACCAAGTAGAAAACACTTTCAAGTGTATGGGAAAGAAGAAATTCCCTTGAGGGCTCTTATGAAGAACAGAGATTTTTTCCTATTTAGCTCATTTCCATTCAAGTTAAAAAAAAATAGGAAAAGTTCTTCATAATTATCCTTTAGAAATCATTAAGATTTCATGAGGAAAGAGGCCGAAACCGGTTTGGCTCAGTGGATAGAGTGAAGATTTCATGAGGAAAAAAAGAGAAGCACTAAGTGGATAAGTTCCCTACAATATCTAATATATGAACAAGAAAAAGAACTAATTTTTCATTATGGTGAGATGAATGAAAACAATTTGGACTAATAAAATCTGGGTATATTTAACATATCTTTGAAACCCATTCTCCTTATTGTTCAAATCAAAACTACTATTGCCCTAGCTGGTTTGGCTCAGTGGACAGAGCATCAGCCTGCAGGACTGAAGGGTCCCAGGTTCAATTCCAGTCAAGGGCACATGCTCAAATTGCAGGCTCAATCTCCAGTAGGGGGCATGCAGGAGGCAGCCGATCAATGATTCTCATCATTTTTTAATTATTTTTTTTAATTTTTTTTATTGCTTAAAGCAGGGGTCCTCAAACTACGGCCCGCGGGCCACATGCAAATACAAATATTGTATTTGTTCCCGTTTTGTTTTGTTACTTCAAAATAAGATATGTGCAGTGTGCATAGGAATTTGTTCATAGTTTTTTTTTTAAACTATAGTCCAGCCCTCCAACGGTCTGAGGGACAGTGAACTGGCCCCGTTTAAAAAGTTTGAGGATCCCTGGCTTAAAGTATTACAAAGTGATTCTCATCATTGATGTTTCTCTCCGTTCCTCTCTGAAATCAGTAAAAATGTATTTTAAAATAAAACTATCCTGTCAACACCTTAGTTGTTAAAAAAAAATAGAATGACTTACTAAACATAAGTAAAAATGTAAAATATTAACTATCGTCCTCAGTGAGGGGAAATTTTAGTACAGGAACACACTGGGAATACTGCCGTTTGGGTTCCAGACCACCCCCAGCATCACAATAAAGTGAGTCATAACCTTTTTGCTGGTGGAAGGGCTTGCCTTCAATTTGTAAAATAATGCAACCTTTGTGGCATCTAATAAAATGAGGTATGCCTATAATCAGAACTCTAATTGCTTAAGTTGAAGTGACACATTGAGAATTAAATAAATCATTTAGCATAACACTATTTATAGACTGCAATGACCTGTGAGCAAAGATGTGTATAACTTGAGAGTAAAATCCTTTTCTGGAACCTGACCAAATAAGCTCTTTCAGAAGGGAGTTATAACTGCTTCTGGTGGCTCCAGATGTACCTCTAACCCAGAGATAGAGGAAGTACTGGAATTGACTAAATTCCAGTACTTCCAAGACTTCCAGAAAGTATAACATATTATTAAACCTTCAAAGAAAGGAAGCTGTGAAGTGACACTAGACAATATAAACATCAAGACAGAGCAAAAGCCCATGAAGCCTTCTTTACAAAAGGATGGTGAGGAGGCATATAAGACAAATATAGGTATGTAATAGCCTTAAAAGTATCTACTGTGAATATAGTGAAACAGTTCTGGCCTACATATGAGAAAATAAGTTTTAGATCTGGTTATACCACATTCAGAAGTAGAATGGTTAGAGCAGCCTGAGTCAGGTAGGTATAGGTTCAAATCCCAGTACCTTCACTGATATTGTATGACGCTGGACAAGTTCAAGCTTCTCTAAACTTGTTCTAAACCTATTATGTGGAGTTAAGAATGCCTCCTTCTCAGGGCTTAAAGCTTAAATAAAATAAAGTACATAAAGCACTTGGTAACACTAGCACATGGTAACACTCAATAAATTATAGACAATATTAGCTATATATCCTTGATCAAGCCAAGGCATTTTATAAATGGAGTGATAACACAGAAAATCACGGACACCTTTAAGTGCCAGATAAAACGGAGCAGTTATTACTACTAGAAGAGGTCAGATTTACTTGTCTCCCATAACAAATGTTACCAGTGGCTCTCTTTACAAGCAGCAGATTACCATTAGCATCAGGTATTACTTAGGGTGCTAACTTTTTTAGAAACATTACTTTGATATTAATAAACTAGAGGCCTGGTGCATAGATTCATGCACCCCAGTGCATGGAGTCCCTCAGCCTAGCCTGCACCCTCTTGCAATCCGGGATCCCTCAGGGGATGTTGAACTGCCGGTTTTGGCCCGATCCTAGCAGGCCAGGCCGAGGGACCCCACGGGTGCACGAATCTGTACACGGGGCCTCTAGCATGCATATAAGATCTTTGATTAATCTCTTCCCACCCTTCCTCCTCCCCCTCCCCTTCCCTCTGAGATTCATCAGTCTGTTCCATGTTTCCATTCCAGTGCATTGAGCGTCTGCCCCCTGGTGGTCAGTACGTGTCATAGCTAATGGTTGAATAATCGCTTAGGTTTTTATATAGATTAACTGAGCAATATCTATTGGGCCATAAGAAATTTATCAAGCATTTTCACATGTAATCTCATTGGAGGGCTTTTCCGGCTTATAGGTTATCATCACTTTTGCCCCTATTATTATCTCATGTTATAGTCCTTGTATATAGGAGGAACTCAATAAATATCTGTTAAATTGACTACAGAACACCAGATAACCTAAAACTTGAACTTTAGAAGTATGTAATTCTTTATCCTAAATAGGGGAGATACTATGAATAATGAACTCAAGTGACTCTTAAAAACACTCTGAGGGTGAGGGCATGATTGGGGGAATGAGGGGACATTGGGGGGGATATGGACACATTTGTAATATCTTAATCAATAAAGGGAAAAAAACACTCTGAGATGAGCTCAATAATGTTCAAAAAATAGCACTACCAAATCAAATGTCAGTTTTGTCTCCATTGCAAAATTTGATTTTTATAAAGTTTTGCTTGTTTGTGTGTGGTGTTTTTGTTGTTAATCCTCACCCTAGGATATTTTTCCATTGATTTTTAGAGAGAGTGTAAGGGAGGGGAAAAGACAGAAACATCAATGTGTCATCAACTGGTTGCCTCCCACACATGCCCCGACTGGGGCTAGGAATCTGAGGTACATGCCCTTGACTGGAATCGAACCTGGGACCCTTCAGTCCTTGGGGCCAATCCTCTATTCACACTGAGCAAAACCAGGTAGGGCTAAAATCCATCCCATTTTTAAATGAAGGCACTATTTTCCAAAGGTCTAAGCAAGGGTTCTAAAAGTACAAAGCAGCTTGAGCTCTATAAGTCAGTTCAATTGTTATTTATTGATTACCCACCTTCTGCAAGACATTCAGCTGGGTAATATAAGAAGAGGCACCCAAGTACATTGTAGGAGTCAGACACTAAATTAGAGAATTCATCAACCCAGAGCTGTAGTATTAGCATGGTAGGATGGCAGGGACTGACAAAAGGAAAGGGGCAATACTGAATGACTTCTAGGTGACTGTATAAGCCTTTGAACAAGGTTGCAAACTTTGGAAATGACAAGTTTTACATTCTTCTGTTTAAACTATTAGCTTTAAAAAAAAAGTAGACATTTGGCTTGTACCTTATAAAACCTGGTTTTAAAACCCTGGATTGTGGTTAAATTGTGTGAATGCTGGTAGTGCAATAGAATGTAAGCATCACACTTCATTCAACGATGTATCTTTTATTGGGACATATCTACAAAGTAAGCACTTGGCAAATACCTGCTGAATGACCAAATGATTCCCAGGATAAATTAGTCAGCTCAAAGTCCAAATATGAGAGCTCGGGCTGGTAAGCCACCTAGGTTTTGATCAAGCAGCTACACCTGAAAGTTTTGTTAGAATAATAATTCCACACATCAGATTTCTGTGGAATAGAGGAGTCCCATCTCTAGCTCCTCTCCCACCACAATCACAGCAGTCAGATAAAGTTGAGGAGTTTATTAGGGAAATATCAGAGGTAAACACCCCAAGTGACAGAAAGAAAAATCTGAAAATGTCCCTTCAAGCCAAGTGGAGACCTGGCCTTGACCGCCCCATAAGGACAAAAAACTGGTAGATTAGCAACAACATTCTCTAGCAGCCACCTTGCCAGGGCATGAGTCTCTCAGCCAGGACTGTCTGCTACCTCCCAACAAAGGTAGGGAGGAGAAAAGACTGTTTATAGAATCAATGCAGAGGCAATGAGAACTGTAAGGAAAATCTGAGAGAGAGAGAAAGAGATAGAGGAGAGAGAGAGGAGAGAGAGAGGAGAGAGAGAGAGAGAGAGAGAACACCTTAATAAAGAGTCCCAGGCTTTTGGCTCTGAGTGCCTCAAATACATTGACAAGTAGTTTTACAAAATGTTACTGAAAAGGTAAAATGCCTAATGTTTTCAAGAGTTCCCCTGGACTTCTCCCCACATGCCATATCACACTGCCAGATGAACATGGCAGAGCCCAAAGGCCACATTTTTGAAGAAAGAAAAACAAGAATAAGCCCTGTTGCTCTTTAAGGAGAGAGAAGTGGAAGGCTGCTGGGATCTTTCCCACGTAGGCCTGTGTTCTGTAAAGCAACTTCCCAGCAGCAGTCTGGCACAGTCCTAGGTGAGGGTCTCACCTTTTGTCACCTGTAGAAGGAAAACTGACCATTAGATAAATTCAAAAGGATTAGAGGTATTTTAGATCCTAAGCAATAGAGTGGTAGAAAAGAAGATAGTTTTAGAGTCTCAGAAATCTGGTTCAAATTTAAGCAAGGTACTTAACTTCTCTAAACTATTTCTGCTTGCAGTTTGTTTTAGCAAGACGTAGCAATATGCATTCTCTCTTGCATAGCCACTGACTAACCTCATAAGGAAACATCTTGGCCATCATACTCACCCTTGCTTCAATGTACTCTATTCTCCGTTCAAGGGCTGTCAATTTCTCATTTAGTGTTGCAAGTCTTGAACGACAAGACATATCTAGTAAAAGGAGAATGATATTCAGGATTAATGTCATTCCAGACACACACACACACACACACACACACACACACACACACACACACTCCTAAGCTGAAGAAGAGGGATGATATATCATGTAGAGTACAAATGGGAGCAGGTAGGCAAAGCAGAGGAATGGAGAGGACAAGGTGAGAAGTATCTTAGGAACACAGCTGCTTATAGTGGATCTGTGGTAGGCAGAGAATATGGCTCCCAAAGATGTCCACATCCTAATCCTTGGAACCTGTGAGTATGTATTCTACATGACAAAAGGGAGTTTGTAGATATGATTAAAGTTAAGAATTTTGAGTTCCTGGATTGTCTAGATGAGCCCAATCTAATCACAAGCCCCAATGTAGATGAGGAAGGAAAAGTAAAGGCAGAAAAAGACTCAAAGTGTGAGGGGGCTCAACTTGCCATTGCTGGTTTTGAAGATGGAGAAAGGGGGCCATGATCCAAGAGCTGTAAGTGACCTTTAGAAGCTGGGAACAGCTCTCAAGAGACAACCAGTCTGCCAACAACTCAATGAGCAAGAAATCACATCCTCTCCAAGAGCCTCCAGAAAGGAAGGCACCCTGCTGATCATGATTTCAGCAGTGAGCCAGTCTTAGACTTCTGATCTACACCACTGTAAAATAATAAACTTATGTGGTTTAAGCTGCTATCTTTGCGGTAATTTGTCATGGCAGCAATAGGAAACTAACAGACCAATGCTGTACAGATTACCATTTGGTAATAGGCAAACTAAGAGTTTCAAGAGAGGAAGAATAAAAAGAGGAAGAAAATAATCTCAATAGGGAGGAAAAGCAGATGCCAAGAACGCAGCACAGACTGTAGGAAGAAGGGAAGGTAGCAGTGTTTCTAAGCTAATGGAAGCCACAGCAGTGCCATTGTCTCATCAATATCTGCGAAGGCCTTTCATAATCAGAGAAAACTTGAACATCAAATATCCTGTGAAGTCCACATTCCTTCTGCAAAATTCCTTTTATACCTTTTTCAATCTTCTTTCACTACCTCACCCAAAATGAAATGTAGGTTTTCCTTAAGATACCTTTCTTCTGCAAATTTCTCTAACAGACTTGTGTACTCTTTCTACAACTATTCTCAATACACAGGAGAAAAAGGTTTCTAGGCATGCTAATTATTTCCTACCATTTCTTCCAACACGGTTCAGTCATCTATATATATATATAAAAAGGAAGCAACTGGAACACCGTAACAACTGGAACGACCAGTTGCTATGACGCCCACTGTGAACAGCAAACCAGCCTGATCAGGGGGTGGCGCTGCCAGCCAACCTCCCGTGGCCCTTCCCCACAGCCGGCCCCAGCCCTGATCAGCCTCTCCCACCCCAATAGGGAGTGGGGCTGACCGGCCAATCTTCTGCAGCCCTCCCCAGCTGGCCCCGCCCCCAATGGGCCCCCACCACCCCAATCGGCCCACAGCCCTTTCCCACAGCCCTTTCCCGTGTCAAACCCCACCCAAGATAGGCCCCCCACCGAGATCAGGGGCAGGGCTGCTAGCCAATTGCCTGTGGCCCCTTCCCCCAGCCAGCCCCACCCCCATGAGCCCCCACCACCCAGATCAGCCCGCAGCGCTTCCCCTCAGCCAGCTCTGCCCCTGATCGCCCCACCACTCAGGTCAGGGGCAGGGCCAGCTGGCCAATCACCCATGGCCCCTCCCCCAAGCCGCTGGTCCCCTTGGTCCCCCAACCCCATTCAGGGATGGAGCCAGCTGGCCCACCACCCACAGCCCCTTCCCACAGCCGACCCCACCCCTGATCAGCCCCCACCACCCTGGTCTGCCCACAGCCTCTCCCCCGAGCCCGCCCCACCTCAGATGGCCCCCCCTACCCCAAAAGGGGGTGAGGCCGGCTGGCCAACTCTCTGTGGCCCCTCCCCCCACCTGGTTCTGCCCCTGATGGGCCCTCACCACCTCATTGACCTGAAGCCCCTCCCGCTGGCTGACCCCACCCCTGATTTCCCCCCACCCCAATAGGGGGCGGGGCCAGCCAGCCAACCTCCTGCAGCCCTTCCACCCACCAGGCCCACCCCCGATGGGCCCCCTCCCCCCAGCCAGCTCCACCCCCTATCAGCCCCTCCACTCTGATCAGAGGCAGGACTGGCTGGCCAACCACCCATGGCCTCTCCCCCAGGCTGCTGGCCTCCAATTGGTCTCCCCACCCCATTTGGGGGTAGGGCCCACTGGCCAATTGCCCATGGCTCCTTCCCACAGCTGGCCTGGCCCTGATTGGGACGATCAGGGTGGGCATGCGACCAACTTCCCACCATCTCCTCCTCCTGACAGGCCCGGCCCTACCCATGCATGATTTCATGCAGTGGGCCTCTAGTCTATATAATAAAAGCCTAAACAACCATTACGGCGAAATGACCAGAATGACTGGTCACTATGATGCGCACTAACCACCAGGGGGCAGATGCTCAAGGCAGGAGCTGCCCCCATATGGTCAGTGCGCTCCCACAAGGGAAGCACAAAGCCAGGCTCACGGCTGTCGAACACAGCAGTGGTGGCAGGAGCCTCTCCCACCCCCGTAGCAGCACTAAGGAGCAGCAAGCCGCCAAGAGGTAAGGAGCAGCAAGCAGGCGGGCGGTACAGAGTGAGGAGTCCCGAACGATGAGAGGGTGCAGGCCGGGCTGAAGGACCCCCACCCTCCCACCCCAGTGCATGAATTTCATGCACTGGGCCTCTAGTCTCTCAATAATCTTCACTTAAATCTAAAATATCCACTCACTGAGACACACTCCCACTCAATGATTTAACACTTAGCTCACAACCTTTCTTTTCATCTCTTCCCTGGATGTTATGCAAAAGTGCTTTGGCACCCATTTTGAGACAAATCTTCCTATATCCTGATCTTGCCTTAATTTTCATTTCATCATATGCAAATCTTACTCATCTGAACATTCTCCTTCAAGGCTCAGTTCAAATTGAATTCTAAGAGGTCTTCGACAGATGGATATAATTTTCCCTCCTCTGTTATTTACCTAAATATTTATGGCTAAATTTCTAATTCATAAGTTACTTACATAGTTGGTCTTCAGTTATCATTTCTCACTTTGGATAAAGATTTAACAAACCGTGTTCACCACTATTACTTAGGAATGCTTTGGTAAAGTATGACATATCTATGAGAGACTATTAAACAGTCATTAACAAATCACCAGTTTGAAGAATAATTAATGACATGAGTAAATGTTCATGCAACAAAACCAAGTGATACTTAAATGTTTGTGATTTATAATTTATTTACATGACTGTTTCCCCAGTAGAATGAATTAATAAAAGGCAGACATTCCATTTTTTTTAAATAGATTTTTTTACTGATTTTAGAGAGGAAGGGAGAGGGAGAGAGATAGAAACATCAATGATGAGAATCATCAATCAGCTGCTTCCTGCACTCCTCCTACTGGGGATCGAGCCTGCAATCCAAGCATATGCCCTTGACCAAAACTGAACCTGGGACCCTTCAGTCCGCAGGACAACGCTCTATCCACTGAGCCAAACCAACTAGGACAGCAGATACAGGCAGTCCTTAGGTTATGTCAGACTCCACATAAGTTGTCCCACTTATTTATTAAAAAAAAAAAAAAAAGTTCCATCATTTCGACATATGTACATATGTGCTTTATATTTTTTATTATTTACTTACCACAAGTAAAGGTCAGGAACTGTTAACTTTCTTTTAATTTTTTTTAACTGTTTCACTTCATTACTGCTGTGTATGTGCTCCATGTGAGTGGCGTAGGTGCTTATAGGTAGGTGGGTTCTGACTTATGGCGAAAATCTCCTTACGTCCCAACGTAGGAACAGATCTCCGACATAACCCGAGGACCTACTGTATTGTCTTTTATTAATCTTTGTAATCTTAGGGCTTTGCCTGGCACATAGATGTTTATTGAAAAAAAAAAAAAAAGATTCTGGTATATTAGTGGAACAGAAGTTTGACTCTAGTGTGTCTACTAATTTTTTTTTAAATTTTTATTTATTGATTTTTAGTGGGAGAGGAAGGGAGAAACATTGGTTTGTTGTTTCATTTACTTATGCATTCATTGGTTAATTCTTGTAATGTGCCCGATCAGGGATCAAACCTGCAACCGTGGCATATTGGGACAATGCTCTAACCAACTGAGTTAGTGAGCCAGGGCTCCACTAATTTTACAAGTGAGAAAACGAAGGCCTAGATAAGTGGAGTATCCATGATGGGTAACTGACAGGACACAAGGGTGGCAGAGCTGAGATCAAAACCCAGTTTCCTCACTACCCAGCATGGCATTCTTTCCCATTACACTACCACCATCCTTCTGAGCCTCTGAGGCCATAATTTATTCCCCACATCCCTTAAAATTTGCTTGCAGCCTGACTCTTCCACTTTCTAGTTCATTTTTTTCTTTTTGTTTCATATTAGATTCTTTCTCACTCACCCATCTTCATGGCTACTCTTCATTATTCATTTTTAGAAATAGCTTCATTGATATCTAATTTATTACCATAAGGTTCACCTGCTTAAAATATATAATTCAATGGTTTTTAGAATATTTACAGAATTGTGCAGTGATCACCATAATCTAATTTTCATAATCTCTAAAGGAAACCTCTACTAGTGCTCTGGACAGGTGGCTCAGTTGGTTGGAGCATCATATTATACACCAAAAGATTGCAGGCTCGATTCTTGATCAGATCACATACCTAGGTTGTGGGTTCAATCCCCAGCTGGGGTGCATATGGGAGTATGGATTTGCCTATTCTGGACATTCTTCTTTAATTTTTAAAAATAATTTTTAAAAATTCATTTTACAGAGAGGAAGGAAGAGAGAAACATCAATCAGCTGCCTCCCATACACACCCCTGTCTAAGAATTGAACCCTCCAGGAATTGAACCCCTGACCAGGAATTGAACCCTCCACCTTTTGGTGTACGGAATGACACTCCAACCAACTGAGCTACACTGGCCAGGGCTC